GAGAGAAATTAAATGTCTGCACATATTTATATTGAGGAAGCACAATTTAAAACATAAGGTAACCTGACCATTGTGCTGCCCCGTGACACTGTCAGGGTAAGACTCTTCATGCTGTGTTCAGATCCACTCCTCATGGGTCTCCCTGGGTCTCCATCCCACACGGTCCTTGTCCCCATTCCTCTGCCCAGGTGTTGGCTACTGCAGAGCAGAAGGGCTTGGGGCTGAATGCAGGGAATTCCTGCCCGTGGCATCCAGACCAGTCGTTTCTATCAAACCTAAGAGTGAGTTTGTCTTCAGCAGAGCCCAAACTGAGCCTTCCCCTCCCACCCGCCTTCCCTCCTGCCACGCACCCGCCGGGTGTCTGGGCAGATGGATGAATGTTTCCCCAGCCCAGGATCAAGTCCTGCAGCTGTGACACTACAAGCAGAGTAACAAAGTTTCAGCAACCTCTGGTTTGTTGCAACCTCTTATTTTCTCAGTCTGGTGCATGTTAACTGAATCCTTCAGTGGGAAATACCTCAGGGGTCTGGCTGAGCACAGCTGGGGTCCTGCGGGCACAGGGAGGCTGATTTGTGGCTGCAGAGCAGCTGGCAACATTTTCTGGGATTTTCTTAAAGCTTTGGTGAGATTCCCTTCCACAAGTGAGTCTCTGTCCTGTGGGACACCAGCCTCCATAGGGGCCAAGGCATGAACCACACACTCAGGAAGCTGGTTGTCATTTTGGTTTTTGTTTTTAATTTGAAATAACTCTTTGAAGCAGATTCAGGGCAGATACCACTGACCTCTTACCACAAACGTTTAACATGTATTTGCAATGATAAAGTCATACAGCTTAAAACACAAAGTAAAGGGAGGGGGAGAGAAAGAGGCCACTGCCTTTGTGTGAGTCCAGGTCCCAGGTCAGGGGAGCAGCCGTGGGGGTCTCGCTGCCCTGGCCGCCCCGCCAGGCTCGGGTCAGGGCCTTTGGTCACCAAGTCTCACGTCAGGGTCCTTGGCTGACTCCTGCTCCACCTCTCCTCCCTGCAGCGTCCCCCTGGAGCCCTGGGGAGGGGGGCTTCCCTCCCTGTGTGCTCCCACTCCTTGGCAGAGTCCTTCTGTGGTTGGGGGGGGTGTATGTGCAGCCTCCTTAATGACTGTGGATGTGGCTTCTGTCGGGTCTGTGGGTTTCTGTCATTCTGGGACATATGTCTGTCTTTCTGGATATGTGTACGTGTGGTGTAGCAGTGCTCTGGTTCAATAAAGCTTTCATATACATAGCAGCAATGAAATCTTGCCATCAGGTGATGTGAAGGGGCAGCTACTGGGCAGGGCTGGCAGACGTGGCAGGGACCATGGCCCCTCTCTGTCTGCTCTTCCTCTTCTTGGTGCCAGACTTATTGTCTTTGGTGTCTTTCCGATTTCTGTTCCCATTCGCATTGTCTTGCTTTCCTTGCTCTTCCTTTTTCTTCCTTTTCCCTGCAGGAAAGCAGAGGGGCACAGTGAGCACAGTGAGCTGGCCAGTGGCCACTGTTGCCGGGGGTGCTAACAGGCCTGGGCCCCCACACACACAGAGGTGCCCATGGCTGCCCTGTCTGCCAGGCTGGGCTTTGCATTGCCAGCTGCTTCCTGAATATAAACAGGGAAGAGGGATCAAATCAGGATTTTGCTTTCCAACCGCTGTTTTCCAGCAGAAGTGTTAACACTTGCAGTGCTCCATGGCTGCATACCAAGCCCCTTAGGTAACCAGAGGAGCAGACTGGCCCTGGCTGCCTCCCCCTGCCTGCTGCTTAATCCCTGTGTGTTAGTCACTGCTCAGAACCAGTTTCTCTCAAAACACTCAACCCAGCTGTAATCCCTGGCCATCCCATAAGAGGATGACCAAACCACCATTCATCCTGAAGACACTCTAATTCCTGGGAAA